AGGATGTGTATATTTAATAAATCAAATTATCAATAGTATGCAAAATAGGAATACAGTATGTAAATGGGCTCGACACATTAACCTAGCAGTACAAGGGTTTATACAGAGCATGGATATTGTTTTGAACTTCCATCTGTGCGTTCAAACCCAACTTGTTGTAGATGTAACCACCTGATTTTGAATAGCTCATTCGCAAGTAGAAATGGAGGTTCAAACAGCCCTTAACTGTAAACATACTTCATGTGCGCCTTTAGACATGTTTTTTTAGACTTCATCTCCTAAAGTTCCTGGTTTACAATGAAAAACCCAACCCAACGAGTTTACAGCATTCCTCTCATGTCTGACATGGTATGTCACACAAATCAGAGAAACAAGATAGGTATAATTAAGTAATGGCCAGACTTATTAACCCTAACCCTAATTAGTGTTTCTTTAATTATAAGGGCACGCCCATTTAATTGCCTAACTTCTACATATGGTATGTTAGTTCCCATTGCCAATGTAGCTAAAAAAGTCATTTTGACAATGTTTTAGGTTTGCGTAAATAATGGACAAAATCATAATGGCACATTAAACCTTCATTCCTTCTTACTGTTTATGTCAATTGCCAAGTGCCAAAGCATCTAAAAGAGTCGTTATTGACAATGTTTTAGTTTGGAACACAAGCGACTAAATAAAAATGTCACATTCGGCAGTAAATGCAGCAATGCAGCACATTAAACTTCCATTTCTTCCTTGCTTCTTACTCTCTATAAACTTTTAGGCAGTCAATGCAGCAATGCATTTAGGTTCTAACAAAAACAATCTCTCTATTTTTACAGGGATAAGGCTGCATACATCTTGACACCCTAGACCACAACAAAGTTGAGATTATACTCGGTTGTTGTTGTTGCAACGTACTATCTATGAAGTGTTGGGCAGTAAAGGGAAAAGACTAAAGTAGGAGTAAAACATTGAAAATATACCAAAATAGGAGTTACATGTTTTTATTCCCGAAATAAGAGTTAAAATGCATTTAGGGTCTCTTTGGAAATATGGAAAATGACTTTAAGAAACTGATTTCAGGAAAATGAGTTATTTTCCAAAAACCATTTTCCTTTGGTGATGTTTGGAAGAAAGTCTGAAAATTGTCTTTTCTTGCTTGATTCATTTCTGGAAAATGAAGATTGGAAAATGAAAAAAAACTAAAGATTCACTTTCGTACTCAAGAAATCAAACAATCAAAGATCTGGATTTCACTTCGTGTTTGATTTTTGGTTGCTTTCTGAAAGTTTATTACGCGTATGTCTTTCACAATAATATAAATATATATTGTTGCTAATTTACTAAATTTAGAGCTTCTATGCTGCTACTCCATAACTTGTGCCTCATGTTCGTGATGCGCACGAATTAATGGCGCATCGCGCATCGAGGCTCTAGACCCCCTTGGTGCATCGGTGCGCATCACGCCTTAAATAACTATAGAGTCACCCCGACAGTCTTCACCCTAGTCCTCGCCCCAAAATACATATCTCAGAATGTAAGCAATTGGAGACCCTCGAGACACCTCCACAAGATCGCCCACAGCAACATGCCATACACCTTCTTGAGGTCAATAAACACCATGTGAAGGTTCTTCTTCTTAGCCATATACTCCTTCATTAACCTCCGAATGAGGTGAATGGGCTTCTGTGGTCGACTGACCAGGCATGAAAACAAACTTATTCTTAGAAATACACTCCCTCCCGCATCCTAGCCTTTATGCTACTCTCCCAAACCTTCATGGTGTGCCTAAGAAGTTTGAGATGTGCCAAAAAACCTATGGGCATATATTGTGTCTACTACATGTTTTTTAAACTAAACTCATGTCTTCCTCAATTTTGAAAGGAAATAATCGTAGTTGAGTCCCCTTCAAGATATACCAATGTTTCATATCTCGAGTAACAATATTGGTTTTACTTGCTTCGTTAGAATGGTTTGTCCTCGTGTCACAAAATGAAAAAATCAAATCTTAAGTCTTTGATGTGGGACTCAAGCAAATACCCAAGTTTGAAGCAGAAGTAGCAAATGGAAACAGTAAGCAAACAATTAGTCAAGACAAACCGTCGTGGTCATCGATTGGACTTCTTTTGAATGCTCTCTTTATATTTCACAACAATAGGTTTCTACATTAAAAGTCTGGTAATAGTTGAATCCCAAAACTCTTCTTTCTTTTGCTTTTCAAATATGGAAATTCTATTATGCAATTGCTGTTTGATATATGGGGCTGCTTCAAACTTTAACCTCTGTCATCATTTCTATGACAAAAACAAAAAAATGCACATTTAGAGATAACAATATAATATATGTGTTCCTTTACGGGCAGTTATACCTTGTCCTTAGTGGTCTTCAGAGAACAATGGCTGTTGAGACAAAAGATCAAAACCTAAAACCACTCGAAACAGCTTTAACATAAGTCATTTATCCTACTTGATCTCTAGACAGGCTTACCAATGGTTGTAGAGATTGGGGTCATAGTTTGTAAGGCGTCGCCTAGGCGATAAGGCACTGTCACTGGGACGCCTTGTTTGCTCGCCTCGCCTAGAAAGCCTTAAGGCGACCAGGCGTCGCCTTTCCTCACCTTACCTCGCCTTACCTCGCCTTACCTCGCCTTGATGCCTTGGGCCCATTTAAAATTTAAAAAAAAACCATTTTTTTAGTGCAACCCATTTTCTTTTAGTGTAGCCTAATAGACTTAAACTTATCTTCTCTCTCTCGGTCTTCTTTGTCTCAATCAAGCTTCCTTAAAATGTATAAGACTTTTATATATACATACATACATACATATATATATATATACACACACAGACACACACAGATATATATACATATATACATATATATACATATACATACATACATACATACATATATATACACACACACACACACACATATTAACAATTAACAAATATATATATATATATATATATATATATATATATATATATATATATATATTTGTCGCCTAGTCGTCGCCTAGGCGATATGAAGGTACATTGGCGCCTCGCCTCGCCTTGGCGCCTTACAAACTATGATTGGGGTTGAGCATGGTTTGCTAAACGCACTTAAAGATTTTGTGTTGATGCAAGCCGTGTTCTTTAAATTCTCATTTGGCACAAAATCTCACTACTACGGCAAAACAATCCTCCATGGGGGTGCCATGTATAGACCCACATGGCGCAAGGTTGTGGCATTTCATGCAAGTTTCACTGATTGAGTCCCACATTACGCGGCCTTTGCCAACTTGCATATACTCCAAATATGTCCAAGAAATGAATCTTCTTAGGATACTCTCAGGTAATATCGATGTTTCTGTACACGTTTGTATTCGGTATTTATTACATTCCATGAAAAATTTTCATTCCATGCCACCAAATCTCAACATTAATGGGAATGATGATGACTTCCCTCATTCCATTCATGCATTGACCGTTGGTTATCATTCTTGTGATCACTCCTCCAATTCACTTCATTCACTATGATCAAAGAAAAATCAGCCATCCCAAGTTACTTGTCTTACCCCAGTTACCAGTCTCGGCTTCATGTTACACGTGAAATGCTTCATCAGTGGAACGAGATCCCATAGACGACCTTAATCTCCGAATATTTTACGCAAAGGTACACGCATAGTTTTAAAAGGCAAAAAAGGCACGCTACCTCAAGGCGGTAAGGCGAGAGTTTTTAGCCTCAGAGGCCTCAGTAGGCCTATGTGAGGCATACGCCTTAACATGCTGAGGCAGTCGAGGCAATTCAAGCCGGGAGACGAAAGTTAGGCGTAAGCCTTGCTTCTAATAAAATTTCAAAAACAATTGAGCCTTCTTAAAAAAGCTTTGCTCTCTCACTCTCTCCCTCTTCGGCACAGCTTCTTTGTGCGCTATCTTCTCTCGTGGGCCACGAGTTGGGTGATTTTCATAATCTAATTGCTTTATATTCTAATCATTTCATCGCCTAATTCTTTTCATTTTTTTCTTTCAATTGTTAATTTTTGTTCCTTTTTTTAGCATCACTCTCACTCTCTCTGCATCTATTATAGTACGGAGTACTATTATTTAACTCTTATAAGTTTGCTTGACTAGAAAAGTTTATCGTATTTCTAGTGGAAATCATTTTGCTTGCCTAAGTTCGGATTTTTGCTTGGGAAGTAGCTATAAGTTATTGAATTTGGTTGTGAAGTAAAAATTTCATCTACTTTGTAGTGGAAATAAATGTTATCGTATTTAAGGCATTTGTGACTTTGTGTTTTATATTTTTCAAATTGAATTGAGGCTTACGCCTAGTTCTGCCTCGAGGCTTATGCCTCAAGGCATTTTGCCCCACCGCCTTGAGGCTATTTTTCACCTTTTAAAACCTTGGGTACACGGCCTTTTACACATCATTTATTAAATGTTTTTCATATGATCATACATCACATATCATCTATTCAATTATCGCTTTCATTTATTCTATTTATGTTCCTATATCCCTCAAAGAAGTGTTCTTCCATCCTGGATGGTGCGATACTTTGGCATAGGAAACGAATTCTTTGGAATTTAATGGCACTTAGGACCAGATTGCACCAATACTTTGGTAGAGGAAATGAATGTTTGGGATTTCAATGGTAGTTAGGGCCTCGTAGATTGACCAACAGTGAAGAAAACAATCAGACATAAAAGGATATTTGCAGTCAATCCAGATGGATTTGTTGCCCAGTCAAAAACAAGTCGTTGCCAAAGACCGGTTCACACATACTGGTGATTAAAGATAGATTTCTAGGTCTGGTCTATAGGTTTCCCACACCTGGCACATTTTAGAACATGGTAAATAGATAGCTTCCCCACACCTAGCACATTTAAGAACACAGTATATATCATTGTTTTCATTTCGAGGCATATGATATAGGTTACCCTATGAGTATAATGATATGACAAATGCATAAATCTAACTATTCATTTTTTAGACAACTCAAAGAGAAATGTAAATGAATTCAAGGGCCAAAACACCTGAGTATTTCTAATGTGTTGCTCTTGAGTATCATGAATTTGTTTGTCGAGCAGCTTTTGTCGTTTCTCTAATTTCTGAATGTAATTGATTTTGCGTCCATAATCTTCTTCCAAACCAAGCTTATCTTTTGTAGCCTAAGAAATAAAATCTACATATCAGATTATCAGCAGCACCAAACTCAACAAGAATTGAGAAGAATGCATGAGGGAAACATGTCGTTATCCAAGATTTTAAAACACCGAACATCTCCCCTCTAATAAATTACTCCCTCGGTCCCTCAAAAAACTTCCCATTATGGTTTATGATGGTTGACTAAAGTTATTTTTCATTCAATTTATTTAATAATTGGTGTAAAATCAAAAAAATACATTTTATATAGTTAAGAAACTACATCAAAATTTCTACAAAACAAGAGGTGACATGAGTACATTATATATTACCAAATGAGTAACAAAAATAGGCAAATAAAGATGATGAGTTTGCCCTGTGTATAGTAACTGGGAAGTTTTTAGGGACAGAGGGAGTATAGATTAAGATTTCACTTTAGATGGATCACATTGAACATTACATTCTCTGAAATACTTCCTCCCATGTAAATAGATGCAGCATTCATATTTTTGCACTACTCGCACATTCAAATTTTACCATCTTGTGTGATTTATACGTTAGTAATGTGGGATCATGTTAGATTCATCTTGAAAGAAACTTTAATGCTATCCTTATTTATAGTTTCAACTTAAACAAAATTGAAGATATTAATGATTTAATTTGTGCACTAGCAAACAAGAATTTTCTAATGTTACAACTATATATAAAAGGAGGAAGTATTAGAAATATTAAAATGAATTCACAGCATAATATTCATCTTATTTGAATACATCACACTTGGTGTCTATAAATATTACAAATTACATAAAGAGAACAATTAAGGAAGGTGATTGGAACCTAATCAAATATCTTGATTGGTAATTTGATTCCAATCAAGGATATTATCAAGATATTACAATCAATTTCTTTGTTTGACACTATTCCTTTGTTTGACATTTCTAACACTCCCCCTCAAGTTGAATCATCCGTTCCGGATATTTAACTTGCTTAATGTTGCTTGAAAGACTTCAGCCGGAACTGCTTTTGTGAGAATGTCTGCCAATTGATCTTCAGATCGGACATATGGAAGACTGATGATATCTGCCTCGAGTTTCTCTTTGATGAAGTGACGATCAATCTCGATGTGCTTGGTACGATCATGTTGTACCGGATTCTCTGATATACGAATAGCAGCAGTATTATCGCACATCAGTATACACTTTCCCTTTGGCGGATACCCCAAATCTTTAAGGAGTTTCCTTAGCCAAAGAACTTCGGTAATTCCTCGAGCGATACCTCTAAATTCTGCTTCTGCGCTTGATAGAGCAACTACCTTTTGTTTCTTGCTTTTCCATGTGACCAGATTACCTCCAACAAAGGTGAAATACCCTGAAGTGGATCTTCGATCGTTTGGATTCCCTGCCCANTTATTTAACGGATAGGAATGTTTATGACTTTTGGCTAGAATACAACTGTTGCAGTGAAACTGACATGATTTATTGAATAATTTTGGAAAGAGAATTTTGAGATACCCCCAAGATGGATGTCCCAAACGACGATGCCACAACCATGCCTGCCTGTCCACTGTCCCATGAGCAAGCGTAGCTGTTCCGTAATGATCAAATTCCTCGACATAGTACAAGCCATTACGCTCAGAACCACGCCCAATGATCTTCCCCGTCTGAATATCCTGTAATAAGCAAAAAGTGGGGTGCATTAGGACCATGCAATTTAATTGTTTTGTGACATGGCTTATTGACAGCAATTTGTGAGATAATGTGGGAACAAATAGGCAATTCTCCAGCCGGATAGAATTTGAGATAGATATTGGACCAGTGCCCTCGACACGAGAATAATCCCCATTGGCCGTTTGGATATGGGTTTTCTTGGGCCAATTTAGAGAATTAAAATCGGAACGGTCAAAGGACATCGTGTCAGTAGCCCCACAGTCAAAAATCCACTGGTTATTTTTAATTTGCGGGGATTTGGGCCAAATTCTATTTATTGGGCCTGATTTGGAAAGAGTATTTAATCCCTCTCCCCAAACCCTACCCGTCACTTCACCTCTCCTTCTTACGCCGATGCTCTCTTCTTCGACGTTACCCATGGTGATTCCGGCGAAGTTTACAGACGCTTGGACGGCAGTGGTGCTGGTGGTCTCTTGATTGCCCACCACTGCCCCAGCGACCCCAGGCAGCTTCTTCCCCCTCGGCTGTCAGGCCACCAATCTGGGTACCCGATCCTTTTGAAGCACCCTTCTGCGGTGTGCTTGGTTCCGCCACAGTAGGTACATTTCAATTTTGATTTGTCCTCATTTATGCGAGATGACGATACCTCCTTTTCCGATCGCAATCCTGCCCGTGTGGCTGCGAACCCACTGCCAAGACCTGAGGGAACATCTCCCGATGAAGGCCCATCGTCTCCCTTCATTATTCCTTTCCTGGTAGCCTCCCTCCTGATTTGGGCGTATGCCTCTTCAACGGAGGGGAGGGGATCTGTTTTGAGAATATCACGTTTTTCTACATCGAACTCTTCGTTTATGGCTTGTAGAAATTGATACAGACGATTTTGTTGTTGAATTTGTGTGAAAATCGTCATATCCTCTGGGCATTTCATCGGGTTGGGTCGCCTCCTGTCAATTTCCTTCCACACAGCTTGTAATTGACTATAGACCTTCTCTAGTGTCTGGTCTCCTTGTTTGATGCTGCTAGCTTTCACCATCAAGTTGTATACCTGCAAAGGATCTTTCCCGGAGCCGTAGGTGGCTTCGATTCCCTTCCACAGATCCCAAGCAGTAGGATAATCGATATATTGATTGACAATATCCGATTCTATGTTTTCTAGAATCCATGTTATAACCGTTGAGCTTGTCTCCATTTGATAAATTTGGGGTCATCAGATTTGAGAGGTGTGGCAGTGATGTGCTTGAGCCGCCCTCTCCCATCCAACGCCAGACTCATTTTGCGCGCCCAAATGGCGTAGTTCCTATCGTTGAGTTTTTCCGCCATATTTAATGGCTGATTGGAAGAGCTCTCGATAGGTTCGGCCTTGGGTGCCAAATTCTGAAAATTTTGAAGAATTTCCAGAATTTGTGCAAGATTGATCGGCTGATTTTTCGGGTCAGATTCCTCTGTGTTTATGGAACTGCCCGTTTGAGGAGTTTTATCGGACATTTTTTTTTATGGTATATGATGAATGCTGCGTTTCATTCAATTGTTTGATCGAATGATGGCTCCGATACCATATTAGAAATATTAAAATGAATTCACAGCATAATATTCATCTTATTTGAATACATCACACTTGGTGTCTATAAATATTACAAATTACATAAAGAGAACAATTAAGGAAGGTGATTGGAACCTAATCAAATATCTTGATTGGTAATTTGATTCCAATCAAGGATATTATCAAGATATTACAATCAATTTCTTTGTTTGACACTATTCCTTTGTTTGACATTTCTAACAAGTACCATTTTGCAGGCAATACACAACGTGGTTCTTAAAGGGTTCCCAAAGTTAGACCATGACCCAACTGCCAATTGAGAACTTGCTCGCTTTAACACTGACCAGGGGAAGAGAATATTATGGGGACAACTTACCAATGAAATATTGTGCTTCAGATCATCCTTCTTGGATCTAAATTCTAGTGTCTTCTCCATTAATGCTGCAATTTGTGCTTTCTTCTTGGTTATTTGTTCATTCAACTCATCAATCCTTTTCTGCCCATCAGAATGATAGATCTCTTGATGTTCGAGGAAGAAATGAAGGATGTGATCAAAGAAAGAGAAGCAAAAAATATATACGCCAAAATACAAACAATGCTGCTAAGTTTCAACATTATCAACATTCTGGAGAGCAACCAACAGTAATCCCTCAGTCCAAACAAGACAGTAATTTAGAAAAAGTGGAATAGTAAGTAATTCAATATACAACTCTTACCCAGCTCACCAGCAGTTGATGAGACATTGCTTTGCAAAATTCAGCCAACACAGATTTTATATATATATATATATATATATATATATATATATATATATATATATCGTAGGTCACAAGTTTAAGTCAAATCTTTTTAAACATTTTAAATTAGGCTTTCGAAATAATTGGGCTGCACTAAAAAAATTGGGATGCAGTAAAAAATCGGGCTTTTCAAAATTTTAGAGGGGCCCAAGTCGTCAAGAGGAGAAAGGCGACGCCTAGGCGGGCGCCTGAACGCCTTAAGGTTTTCTGGGTGAGGCAAGCAGACTAGGTGTCCAAGGGACAGCGCCTTATCGCCTAGGCGACGCCTTACAAACTATGAACCATCAGCATAACCCCTACATCTGAACCTAATTTCGGCATAAGTAATAACTGTCAAATAGAGTGACTTTTCGTAGCACAAAAAACTAGAAAAGAAAGAGAGAACGGATGGCATGAAAAACCGCTTATATGACCTTACCTATATGATAGCAGCACTATTAACACTTGATACACATGCAACAGCACCCAGAACACGAAATTAAATATGTAGCCTTCTTATTTTCTTTTGAATGAATTTAGTAGTATGTGCAGAGTCAGAGTATTTTTACTATTTCCCAACTGGTGAAGTCTTTAATATACCTCGTTAGCCTTGGTGTGCTAAACTGTCTTGTTTTGATGTAGCATATGATATACAACTTAATGTCTACTGAAGTGTGCAGGAACTACATTGTAATCATGTTACAGTTCTCCAGAGAGCAGTCAGAAGCACCAAACCACTAAAGTTTAACTTAAATGTCAAAAATATATGTGTGCATGTCTCTACATAAGCAAGCTAAAAGAATCCAAACTATATACTCCCTCGGTCCCATATCTTTCTTCTCACTATCCTTTTCGGGTCGTCCCACTTGATTCTTCCCGTTTCCTTATTTAGCAAATAAAATAAGTTAAAAGGACACATTTACTCTTCTTTTCTTTTTCTTCTCATACCCAGTTTTCTCCACCCCTTTTGTAGCCGTCCAAGAGTTAAGATATCTTGAAGGTCGATAGCCATCGTCGTCCCTTAGCTCTAGATCAATTTGGTGTTTAACATGCATTTGGAAAGATTTGATGTTTAACTTTTGTGTGGATTTGATAATAGAAACGGAGAGGGGACATGGAAGAAGGCTTAACTCGCAGGGAGAAAGAATGGGGAAGAAGACTGCTTTTCTCATTTCTTCTTTTTCTTCTCCAAATCCAGACTCCAAATTTCGGACTTGCAGTTGATTGCTCCATTTCGTGAAGCGGCATGAAGAGATGAAGAGACTCTTCTTCTTTGCCTGGTGGATGAAATGGTTGGGGAGATAGAAGGCACCAAAGGCTGACAGAAGTAAAGGGCAAATTGGGAAAGTCAAACTTATTTTAACATTACATTACAAAAACATGCCAAGTCAAAGTGAGAAGATTCAACTTGGACGGAGGGAGTAATAAACTAATACATTGACTTAGGCAGCATTCCGTTCAACTTACTTTTTCTCCTTATTACTTATTCTTATTAAAATCAGATTAGAAGAGACCAGATCTAATCAGATCCAATCAAATCGGATCCAATCAGATCAGATCATATCAGATCCAATCAAATCATATCTAAATAAAATTATTATTATTATTATTATTATTATTATTACTATTATTATTATTATTACTCTTAGTATTATTATTATTACTATTACTATTACTATTATTATTACTATTGTTATTATTATTACTATTATTATTATTATTACTATTACTATTATTACTACTACTATTATTATTGTTGTTGTTGTTGTTATTATTACTATTACTATTATTATTATGATTATAATTATTATTAGTATTCTTATTACTACTATTACTAGTATTACTATTATTATTTCTATTACTATTATCATTTCTACTATTATTATTATTACTATTATTATTACTATTATTATTACTATTACTATTACTATTACTATTACTATTATTATTATTACTATTACTATTATTATTACTATTATGATTATAATTATTATTACTATTGTTATTATAATTATTACTATCATTATTATTGTTGTTGTTAATATTAATATTATATTTATTATTACTATTGTGATTATAACTATTACTATGATTATTATTAATATTTATTTAAATATTATTATTATTTCTATTATTATTATTACTATTATTATAAGTATTATTACTATTATAGTTATTATTATTACTATTCTTTATACTATTTTTATTATTTCTATTATTATTACTATTATTATAATTATTATTATAATAGTACTTTTACTTTTAATTTAGATCAAATTTATATCAGATCAGAGATAACCAAATCAAATCCAATCAAATCAGGGGAGATCAAATCAGAACTTCAAAAAATCAGAAAATAAGATCAGCTTAGGCGAACGGAACGGAACGCAACCTTAAACAAATAAGACACAACCAGATATATTAACCGTGTCTGAAGCCTGAATGTGGAGATAGTTGCAAACTGTAGGCGGGTGGTTGACTAATATCACAATCTTCTTACTGATTTCTATAGTTTGAAGAAGATTATATCTGAATGAGGACTCTCGGGTGGAAAACAGCCTCTCTACTTTCGAGTAGGGGCAAGGTCTGCATACACACACCCTCCCATACACTCTATTTTGTGGGATCCAACTTGGTTGTTGTTGTTGTAACTCTCGGCAATCAAAAGTGGTGCATTTCCATATGGATGTATACTGTTTTGGAAAGCCGATGAATCTCTCCTCATTTGTAAAATTTGCTAGTTGGGTAGATTCAAAACTAGTGAAAGACTTTGATCACTCATCATGTCACCCTCAGTTTTTGTATGAGCCACATAATGTTTGTCTGGATTATGTACTTCATACGCTTAATAAGAAAAATTTAAATAGTAACTTCATATGGAATACTTCATCAATTAAATAAACAAAAGGTTAATATTATCTTCATCTCTTAACAAGCTGTATGTTTAACACTACATCGTAATCCAAAAAAATGATTATATATATATATATATATATATATATATATATATATAATTATAAATAGAGAAGGCTAAAGGGAGCCACCAACGGAGACCTATGATCTTGTGAGAGCAGACCACCATTGGATGAAAAAGCAAGGGGGGAGCCATTCAGATCTATGAACAGTATCCAAGAACAGGGTAGGAGGAGGACGTCTCTTCTTACACTGCAATTTGCTCCGTGCATAGGTGAGTCATATTTGTATTTAAAAAAATTGACTATTGTATAACCAAGTTTTCCTATAGCTATCAAGTCATCGCCAAGGCGACGCCAAGCTTCATCTTTAAAATTCTGGCAAGTCGAGGAGCCATGGCGAGAGCATTGTTCCAACTTCCAACAAGATTCCAAGTTGATGCCTAGGCAACGCCTTTATAACTATGGTAATTGGACACAATTGAAGGAGTATGTTAAGAACTACCAAACTAAAATTGAAATCCATGGGATGATCTACGACTAGGAGTTAGGAATCAAATCAGCAATGGCAATGTACTTCCGAAATAAGATATCATTGCCAGGCAAGAAAAAACTAGAGTAAATAAGAGATAACTATTATATATCAGCAGCTACGATTTCTATGAATATGCTAAATAAATCTGAGCATACTATCTAATAAAACTATAAGTAGAGCACTTACCAGGCACTGATCTATTCTGGATTGACACAAAGGAATCCGCCCTTGTAGTTTCTTAATCAGCTCACTTTTTTCTTGCAATTGAGTGTCTACATTATAAACCCACGACCAAGCAAGTTTCTTTCTTAGCACCTCTACCTGAAGTGATATCTCTTCTATGTGCTCCATGCTTTTTATCTTGGCCTGTAGTTCCTGAAGTTCTCTGAGAATTGGGCTAATTAACTTCTCCAGCTCATCAATTAGACTGTCTGCATTGCCTATGTGGGTCTCAATACCCTTCAAAAGATCCTCCACTTGTTGAAGAAGAGTAGCCTTGAAAAAGAACTGTATAACATAATATATATCAATAATGGTTCTACTCACTAACATTTATGCTCTCATAACTACTCCCTCCGTCCAAAATTTCTTTCCTATTTTGACATGGCACGGAGATCAAGAAAAGTTAAAAAATGTAAAGACTTTCCATGTTTGTCCTTGATGTGATGGAATAAAGTGAATAGTGTAGATAAAAAGTAGAGGTATAATGGCACATTCATTAAAATTTTGTTGACAAAGTAGGAAATGGGAGAAATTTTTGGACAGCCCAAAAAGGAAAGCGAGAAAGAAATTAATGGATGGAGGGAGTAATTTACAGTCAGTCCCATAGAACAAAATGACAGTCAGTCTCACTGAACAAAATTGAAAATTGAAAATTGAAAATTCAAAATAAACTTCATAGTTTGACTCAACATAGTTTACAAAAAGTGAAAAGTGTGGTTGGAATTTGTTTAGAAGAGAGAAATATTCACACATTCCTTCCTCAAAACAAAATGCGGAAAGTGTGAAGTTTGTTTGGGACGGATGATTAATGAAAGTGTGAAATTTATTTTGGAGTTTGGACAAATTGAGTAAAAAAAAGTATGGGAAACAAACTGCATTTGTTCAAATCCCTAGCAGTTAAGCTCTCTTAATTAGTTTCATATACAGAATTAACTAAGTTAAGTTAGTTTCATTGAGCAAATTGCCAATTCCAAATATTGTTAAAAATAAATAAATATTCCTTCCGTCCCAAACTAATCTTCTTGATTGGGTTTGGCACAGACTTCAGGAAAAGTGAAATAAGGTGGTTGAAAATGATGGTGAGCCACAATAACTTTCCAAAAATGGAAACAGGAAGCTTTTGTGGGGACGTCCCGAAAAGGAAAACAAGAAGAATAATTTGGGACGGAGGAAGTAAACAAATAAATAAATAAATAAGAGCATGGAAAAGATGCTATAGAGTAGAAAGTGGAAAAACAAACAAAACTTTATTCCATTTTGTCAATGCAAGGTATGTTATCTACCTTGAACTTGTCACGGTCGTTTCCTGAGTGCAAAAATTCCCTGCTTTTGTCTTGACTCATTATCACACAGGGATTTTCAACATCAATCTACAGAAGAAGAAAAACAAATCCACTTACGTGCAGTAACTAAGAATATGGCACAAATGATGCATGCAACATTATAAGATTATGCGAAGGATAAAAAAGCAATAAAGTAGATTATTGGGGAGAGTGATAATGATACCATTGATTGATCTGCTCAAATATGGTTGATTGATTTTAAATTAAATTGATTAAATATTTTTATTAGCTTATCTTTACGAAGTAATTTGCTAGGATTTCTTCACTTCCTTCTTTAGATACTTTTATGCATATAATCCCTATTATAAAAGGGAGCTTTACTCTGCAAATAAAACATCCAAGAAAAAATTATGAAGGAAAACTCCCTAAAATTTCTTTGCAACTTCAGTATATCATTTTTGTTAATTCGCATGATGTGGAGAAACATGGTACACAAGAAGGAATTTACAACTTAATAGTAACATTCTCACATTAAAGTGTTCCACTAATTCAAAGAGATCCTCTCTTCGAGATGCCACCTTTTTACTTGAAAAATCACAATGAAAGAAGAAACAGAGAAAAAACGAGTATAGAAATGAGCGTCCAGTGTAAAGACATTGGGCCTTTCTAGTAGTGTATGTTACCTTTATAAAAATGCTCATATATAGTTGGCTGGTTGCACTCTGTGTGACTTTCGTGACCGTGTGACTTTCGTAGTTTTGTCTCGAATTTCAATAGTGCCAATTTGTTTCCTAATGGTCCACCCCTTTACAATTGAGCCGCCCCAACAATTCATTATTTCATTTATATTTTAATGGAGGTATCATGTATGGCACTGACTTTGATCCCAATTGAATGTGAGGTCAGGTAGGCTCTAAATCTTCTCAAACATATCACCACACATAAGAATTAAAACAACTGTCCATTCCCACTCTTAGTTCTGATCATTAGAATCGTGAGAAATTTCAGAATGAACGAGAGCACGCATGGCTTCTAGCCTTTGGTATTGAATTGGGATTAAACTGTAAATGGGTGGAAACATTATATGAAACCCATTAGCACCATAAAAATGTAGGGAGAAAAATTACACAATTGTGATGCTTGAGGGATGAAATATGCAATTAAGCCTATTGTTAAATAATATAACCGAGCTAAGCTTTGTTCGAATCTAATTAGGGTCAAATTATAAAGTTTTATGAAGTAACATAACAAGAAACCTTGGTGATTCTTTAAAATGATAGAACTAGCAGATTCTGATATCCTCCGCTCGACTATTATGGCCCTGCCATAAGTTTCAGGCTTGAATGAATCCTCCTCATGGTTCTTTATCTCAACGTGTATAAGCGCATAACTGCAAATGTTTTCAAGGGATTAAACACCTTATAGTTAAAAGAACACCACAAGCTAAACAATATGAAATGTAAAGCTGCTTTGGCACTACCAAACTTCTTTGAATAAATGTATTGAGACAAGCTCTTTTTACGAAAAAACATGTTCATATGCTCTTTTTTTGGCAAAATGCATAGAAAGCTTATTTGGGTAAATAGGTAATGGCTTTAGATAATTCAAACTTTTTAAAATTAGTCAGATAAGTCCCCTCAAAGATTTGGAATTTTGCAATTGAACCATCAAACTTAACGCACATGCAATTTCTACCTCAGAACTTTCAAAAAGTGTAATCCCTCTATTTCACTGATTACCACTGGTAAATTAGCTAACATGGCCTCTAAAATTAAGTGCACGTCAATTTTTTCTCGTGCTGATGTGCTCTTTTAACGCTGATTGTAATGATGGCTAAGAAAGTTTCATGTAAAAACTGAAAGAGAAGATTTGTAATTGAAAGAATAAGATGGAAAATGATGTTCAGAGCACCATCAGTGCCTGGTTTTGGTAGATTTCAGAGGTAAACAGACAAAGTACTGGAACTACTGGACTTCAGGTAGATTTCAATGGCAAAGTAGAGAACAAGACCAACTTTTGTATTTCAAACCTGAATGGGACAATCATCTTAATAACTGTGAACGGTAAATCAAAAAGCCTCTTTCTCACATTAAGAATTGTATCTTATTATGAGACATAAGTCATAACTCATAAGACACATGATCAAATGAAAATACGTAGTAGAAAAAAATTAACTAAAAACAAGTGGCATAAGCAACCAAGCATAAGTAGTTGATAAATAGAATACTTCTTCCGTCCCACTATTTTTGTCTTCTTTGCCTGTTTGTTTGTCCAACTGTTTATCCCAATACCATATCTAGTTATATTTGTGTGGTCCACATTCATTCTTACATTTTCATACTTTATATCATCAATATCAACCACACGGTTCCAATTTTATCAATTTGCGTGACACTGACCCATGTACCAAAAACAGTGGGGCGGATGGAGTATGACATTTCAACTGTTCTCATATATAAATTCAAATAAATTCATAGACATTCCAAAAAAGAAACTTTAGTAGCGAGACAGGTATGATTGCACTGGACAGTGGAGACATTCCCTAACAAAACTTATGTGGCGAAATAGGTGTAATTAGAAATTGCACAATACACTGTACATTGAAATCATTGACCCATTATGAATTGATGTATTAATGCTAGCATGTCTCGTGGCCATGCCACAATCCCACATACCCAATTCAATTAGAGATTTAGAGGACAATAATTTTAATAGAGGGCAATAATTTTAATAGAGGGGTTGCACAGTTATGCACTTTATGCACCCATGACCCATTACCATTATGGTACAAGCTAAGAGCTCACAACTTTGAATTGGATATGAACTAGGATGCTGTGATATCTTATTGCTTTATCAATTTAGTAGTCGTTCGTAACTCGTTGGTATTTTTTTATATCTGATGTCTCGCCATTGGTACTAGTCATTTTGTCCATTGCCAATGGAATTAAAAGTCATTTTAGATAATGTTTTAGCTTCAAATAAATAATGGACTCAACGAAATGGCATATTAGACTTCTCTTGCATCTTACTTCCATCAAAGTTTTGGGCAGAAAAAGCATCAAGGAACTAACAAAAAATCTCTATTTTTACGAAGGTAAGGATACGTACATCTTGGCCCTCACCCCCCCCCAAACCCCACCCTACGAATTGCCAACCAACATACATTCTTTCTTTAAACAGCATAGCCCGTAACGTTTTCTGGTCAATTACATTTGCTTCGGTTGTTGCTATCATGGATAACTCCGTTCCATGTACTCAAAATTTCCTAGCCTTGATGCTCCCGGTCAAGGAGCTTGTCAAGTCAGGCAAGGTGCTCAAGCACAATTGCAATTTCCCAACCAACTGAGACACAAAATTATATTTCCATTTTGATATCTGTCACAAAGACCTACAACAAACAGGGGAGTTCTCTTGGAGTTCTCTTGCAGACCATATACCATCTTCGAAGTTCGATCACCTTCAGGACTCACAACCCCATAGTGCAAACACGAGCACAATCTACCACTTCAAGGGGGAGATGTTCTTCCGCCACTCCCAACAAAAAAAAGAGATTCCAATGGCATTGCAGAAGATGGAAAAAGTTCGAGCGAAAATTGTTCCATTGCAATTCCCCGACAGAAAAAGGCTTTTAATGGTTGATATTTATAGTTTATACAAATACAAAGAACAAGCACATGAGTCTATTAGCATAGAGGAAACCAATTCTCCAAGTAATGTTGACGTTGTGAAAAATAACCAAGCAGCTGAGAATGCAAAGGTGAAGAACATGGCAAAGTAAGAATTAGGTTTTTATTTTCTTCCACACAAACTATTTTTTCAAGCAAATACTCGAAGTTGTTCCTAAGAATGATATGAAGTGGAATCAAACCATAGTAATTCTATGTTCCAAATGCAGTCCACGTGCAGTTATGGGAGTTCTTCCATTGGGCTAGCCATTAGCCATATGTCACTTTTGGTGTATGACTGCAAAGACCAGTGTTTGAAATTGTGTTGAGATGCTTGTGAATAAGGTACCTTCATGGCATTTCGGAGAAAAAGAAAATAGCAATGAGGTTCGACCACAAAAAATAGTGTAAAATACAAACTAAAGATCTGTCCGACACACGACAACCACTAGACCTTAACACAAACAGCAGCTGCAAACAAAGTTTGAGACAAGCAATGTGACTAGCTTAGTGAAGAGTACAAAGAAACATAATGAGGCCAAATTTCAACACTGTGAATAACACCTAAAACTTTAACTCGCACATAGTCACATTACACCGGCACTCATAATGTCCAAATTGAGTCCACAAACTCAAATAGGCTATACAACCTCATTGGCGGAGACAAAGCAAAATTCTGGTTATTAAAGATGTCTCGCACGCAAGGGATACTGGGATCGGAGTTTCAGGAATAGTGAAATAGGATGAACAAATGGTGTCGGCGTGCGTGATTCATGTGCTATTCTAATGGCCCTGAAACTTTCCAGGACCAATAATCGATGCCACAAACCATAATCTACTACCACAATAGAGCGAAGAAAAAGGCATGGATTAAATCTAAGGCCTACATGTATCAAGTTGCTTCGATACCATGTTACTCCCTCGTCCGGAATTAAACTTCTCATTTAGACTTTTTCCCATTTTTTTGAAGTGTTGACTTTAGGATGGAAAAGTCCAAAACACCCTTCCCCCAATTGTCCCCACCCACTACCCTGCCTTTTGTTCTCACCATTTCCGTCGATACCACTGCTGCGGCAGATCCAAAACCACCGTCGACCCCCTGCAATCGCCACAGCCCCCACAACCACTTCAGCCCCTAGATCTTCCCAAACCTTACAGATTTAGAAGACAAACAAATAGGAGAAAAAGGGGAATAAAAAGAGGAAAAAAGAAGATAAATTGATTTAGACAAAGAAAAGAGGGATGAGAAAGAATTGGGAAGAAGAAAAAGAATAAGAAGAAGAAGAAAGAGGAACAGATTTGGACAGAAAAAGGAGGACGAGAAAGAAGGGAGGGGAGAAGGAGGAGGAGGAGAAGAAGAAGAAGGAATAGATCTGGAGAAAAAACAGGGTGAGAAAGAACTGGGGAAGAGGAAGAAGAAGAAGAAGATGAAGAAGAATGAACAGATCTGCAAGAGGAACAATTGTGGAGAGAAGAAAAGAAGAAGAAAAAAAAAAGAGAAGAGAAAGGAAAGAGAGGAGAGAGGCAAGGAAGGGAGGAGAGAGAAAAGGGGAGGGGAGAGATAGGGTGAGTATTTGTAAGTGGGGGTATTTTGGGTAGTTAGTGTATAAAAAATTGAAATGGGAAGATTATTTCCGGACGGAGGGAGTATGATATATTTAAGAGAATATATATATATATATATATATATATATATATATATATATTATATAACGAAACTAGTATGGAAATGGAATTACTAAATCTGTGCTTGAGATGCAAAAAATATACTTCTTAAACAATATACAATCTTGTTTCCTTCTCTTACACTCTATTACCACTCGCATACTAACGGCTATGGATTACTCGGCTTATTTTACTCAAAAGTGTAATATAATTCACCATTTATAAATCAATGCTCCCTCTGTCCCAAAAAAATGGTTTCACAATTCTTTTTATGTTTGTCCAAAAAAAGGTTTCACAATTCTTTGGTTGTTTGTCCCAAAAAAATGTTTCTTTCCTTTTCACAAAGTTCCTCTTTGTCACAATTTCCCTCTTCTCTGCACAAAACTCAGTCACTCACTTTCACCCTTATTAATAACCATGCCGGTCAATTGATGAACCTTATTTCGGGACAGAAGGAGTACATGTTGAAAGAAAAGAAAAACTTCTTACTCCACAATATAATAAAGGCAATTGGCACATCACTCAGTCACCACCATAATCTAGAGAAATCTTAGCTTAAAGACTCGAGTAGAGTCTGTCATATATCCAACCTATCCGAACATTATGTCACAACTAGATCAAGCCTTGAACCCTTAAAATGAGAGATGATTGCCAACAGAAATGCAATTGCTTCTTGAAAATTTTAAAATAGGTTGTCTCCCCCCGAACAAAACGATTGAGAATAAGAGTGCCCTAAAAAAGGTTTCTCTTATAAAAATGTCCAAAAAAGGTTTGATATTATGAGACTACCCTCTATCTACCCTCACTTAAAAGCACAAAAAATTACCATGTGAGATTCCCAAATCACCCCTATTCTTCGAAAGTTATTGTCGAAAGAATCTAATTACGTTTTACAGCCGTTTAACGATTTCCCCCCTTTTTGACCCGACCCGAATTCAGCTATTTCTGTTTTCCCCTCCAGCTCCTCAATCGGATGCACACTACACATTTGCTCTGCAAATGTGTAGCGTAGAAGGAGGAAAAAGAGCAGAGCAAAACGATAAGATT